AATGTCTCGCCGACAGAACCCAGTGTGTTAACGTAGATGACTATAAATTTGAAGTCCACAAGGTGTACCACAGGCTCTGTGCTGGCCCCTGTATTGTTTTTTACTTCCATAAATAATATTGAACATATAGTAAGTTAGAACCAGTAAAAATACATTTCCATGCAAATTGCGCAGTTATGTATACATTTGCCCCATCGTTAAAGCAAACTAGTGCAGAGCTTCAAACTGTATTTCAGGAGTTTCAGTTATCATTTTACCAACTACAACTATCGCTGAATACTCAGAAAACTAAATACATGATCTTTTCAGGAGAACATAAACACTTGAGACTAGATAGCCTTGGTTTCCAGGCCTTGGGAGGAGCTGGAGAACTGGAGAAAGTGTCTGCATACAAATACCTTGGAATCTGGTTGGGTGACACAGTAGCTTTTTATTCCCATATTGATTGAAAAGTTAGGTTTTTATTTCTGTTTTGAAAACAGTTTCCCCTTTTCAGCAAGAACAAGTCTTGTCCAAGCAACATTTCTACTGCTCTGAGACTACGGTGACACATCATCTATATGCGGGCATCAGACTCCTTAGTCCACAGACTTGACCCTGTTTACTGCTCCTCCTTAACGTTTCATTTTAGATGTAGGGACAAGAACCACTGTGATTTATATAGGTTAACTAAAGACTAGTAGACGTACTGTACGCTTCACACATAGCTGTTTAATTTTAAAGCTGTCCTTGGAAAACCTCCTGGGTACCTTTGTGAAATGTTTTCTCTTGCTCCAGGGGCTCAGAGCAGATCGTCAGATGGATCACCTACAGTAAAGCTACAGTCTGCTTCAAGTTCGGAAAAACTGCATTTTCCGAACCTGCATGTAAAAATCTACAGGAGAAACTTCAACTGAAAAAAGAGAAGCTATTTAAATGTCATATTACAGAAATACTTCAGGAGGATTGTAACAGTTTTACATGACTTGGTTTTATGCTCATATTTCACAGATCATACTTTATTGTCTAGCGCGTGACTGATATGTAGAGTGTATGTTGTTGTGTGACTCTTTGATGCTGCCATTTTGGCCAGGTGTCTCTACAGAGACCTGCTGGTTAAATAAAGGATAGATAAAATAAGAAAACAACCAAGAGTTAGTTTAGATTTAGTTTAGTTAGTTTTTTTTAACATAAGCAAAGTTTAAAAAAAACTTTAATATAATTTTATCAATTAAGTTTGTTTGATTGGTAGGCGACGGTTACCTGTTAGTGTAATGATTCATCCTGTCAGACCACAGCTCGCCTGAAAACACACACAAGGTATGTCATCACCTGCATTTCCTTTCATATTCAATGAAAAATCATTAGACTGTTCTGATATTATCATATTACAAGAACTGACGTTGTTCCTCTGAGTTCACCTCAGTTAAACAGTCATGTCAGCTTATTGATCAAAGAGTTCAATCAGAGTTAGCCTAAAGACTGACATACATCAAACATAATTCAGTTGATCAGTTCAGGTGTCCATCAGGTGTATTAGTGACTCACTGTGCTGTAGCTGGTCTGAATGGTATGTACTTGAAACAGAGACACCGTTTGTTATAGTGGAAACAGGTTCTAACTTGTGGTTCAAGGCCCAGTTGAGGTCTGAGGACCTGCAGATCAGATTTATTGATCACTGTTTAGTATCATGACAGCACGACAGCCTCCTCAATTTTAACATTTTACTGTTACCTGTTTAGTCCAGGTGCAGTGCTTATGTGTTCATGTTTCTCATTGGCTCTGCCAACTGCTGACCCACAATGCTCTGCTGCTTCCTGTCTACTTATGGGCTCCTGCTCTGCACCTGTTCATACATTCACAGTTGGTGTTTCATCCAGTACAAGTATTAGATACAGTATAAACACAGTTTTGTTCTTTATCTGGGAAATAATGGGTATTAGAAAATTTGTGCTCTCACAGTGCTATTATTATTATTACTGTCACTTAAAGTAATTTTACACTGTCAGCCGCCTGTTTTTACCTGTAACAGGTGAGACTCACCTGGCTCCTGCCCCCTCTGCTCATCTGCTCTGCCCTGAGTCTGCGTCATGTCAAACTTCCTGTGAGGAAGATATTACCAAGAAATGATTTTGGCTCAGGTGAGGTGAAGGTTACAGGTAAAAGGATGAGAACTGCCTGTTACCTGACACCTGGTCCAACAGCTAAGCTGTGAGAGTGGGGCTTCGGTGGGCGGGCCCTAAATGGGTGAGGCCTCTGCATTATAAAAGCAGTCAGAAATTTTTGGTCAGTTGGAAATGTGCTGTGCTGTTGTGGTTGGCTGGAGTAGTGACAGGTTGTTGTGGTTAGAGGGGTGTGGTCATGTGATCACACCTGCAGACTGATGGTCAGACTTTGCTGCAGAGCTGCAGTCAGGCGCTCCACCAGACGATCCCTATCGGTACCAGAGGTGTCCTGAAACGTAAAAAATGTGCCGTGCTTGGTTAATGATGTTGATGATGTAAGCATTGGCAACTGGCTGAGGTTCCCTGGACTTGGGGATAAAGCAAGTCATGTAGCTGTGAGCAGCTTCTTGTTAATCAACAAACTAATAATTTTATGAGTAGATAATGAGCTCATGTAAAATGTATTAGAGGGTTATTTGCTGACAGTAGTAAATGGCCCTCTCTGATCTGAACACTGAAAGTGAGCTCATGCTTATGACCAAGGTCAGTGCAGGAAGTGGAGGCATTCAGCGAGCAAACATTTAGAGACCCAGAAATCATGTTACTGTCTGACATGTTGGTTTGTTTCCACCTGTCTGGTTGCTCCCATCATAGTGGTCATAATCTCAGGTGTGAAATCACTCTTGTTACTGACAGAAACAATGGATTAAACTAAGACAAAGTTCAGATAGCTGTACAGGTGTGGTGTTGTTGTTTTTACCTTGCAGTGAGACAGAGCACTCAGGGCCTCTTTGTAGAGTTGAACAGCTTTGTGCTGCTTCTTCTGCTTTAGGTAACACTCTGCCAACGACTCACACACCTGCATCTGGGCCAGGTGGTCCTCTACAGAGACAGACACACAGGTAACACACCTGCACCTAGCGCAAATA